GGGCCAAGTTCAGCCCCGTCAAGCAGTGGCACTTGGCAGCTTCTAACACATGGTTCTGGATTTTGAATGAAGGAGGGTGCAGAATACCTCTCTACATCTAAGGAAAGCCACCAAGGCCAGGTGTGCTTCACGGGTGATCCTGAATGAAGGCCCAGAGAGGCCATTGTGTGAAGCTGTGAAGGTGAAGCCTGGGTTGCACTGGAGACCCCAAGATGTTGGAGAGGACAGAGTCACAGGAAACCTGTCAGGGACAGCTACAGACCCAGGATGGAACCAGCTCAAGAGAAGTGTGTTGCAGTCTACAAAGCTGAAAGGAATTGGAGATAGGAAGACAGGTCAAGACAGGGCAAAGTTTCCTCCATCTTGTATTCTTGCTGAGGCCATTTCAAGTTTTACTAAAATTTGATCTCCTTGATGGAGCATCCCATGGGAAATTATCCAACTCTGTACCAAAAACCCAAGGTCAGGGTGTCCTAGCTAACTTAGATTCTGTTAAACTGTTTGTCCCCAGTCCCCCAAGCTGTCAAATGAGATGTCAGGTTGTGTCTTCTGCCTTTAAAAGCTCATGTTCTGGACACTCAGAACCATATCTAGGTCCCTGAATTCTTGGATGTGCTCCTACCCAGTTGGAATGAAGACTTTCGACTGGTTAAACCATTAACACTCAGACACAGAGATGCAGAATTTGGAGTTTTCCCAGGTGGTTTTCAGTCTTGCTTTGGTCCAGCATTATGCTTCTATTCCTCCTTTTAGAATGGTAATGTGTATTCTGTGCCAATGTATGTTGGAAGCATATGTTCTGCTTTTTGATTTTTGTTTTACATGGGATTGCAATTAAGAGATTGCCAAGAGTCTCAGAAAAGTTTTGACTTTTAAACAGTGTTGCTACTGTGGTAGACTATGGGGGACTTTTGAAGTTGGACTGGATGCATTTTTGTGTTATAATATGGCTACAAGCCTGCGGGGATCTTGGAGTGGAACGTGGTGGTTTGAATATGGATGGCCCTCTTGGGCTCACATATTTGAATGCTTGGTCCACGGGGGAGTGGAACTGTTTGACAGGATTAGAAGAATTAGGAAGTGTGGCCCAGTTGGAGGAACTATGCCACGGGGGGGGGGGGGGGGGGGGGGGGGGGGGGGGGGGGGGGGGGGGGGGGGGGGGGGGGGGGGGGGGGGGGGGGGGGCAGTCTCTCTCTCTCAGCCTGTGGATCCAGGATGTAGCTTGCAGCTACTGCTCCAGAATCACACTTGCCTCTGTGCTTTCCATAGTGATGATGACGGATTAAACCAGCAAAACTGTAAGCAAGCCCCCAATGAAATACTTTCTAAGAATTGCCTTGGTCACGGTGTCTCTTCACAGCAATAGAATAATGACTAAGACACTCCTCCAACCCCAACCAAAATCCACCTTTCTGGTGACCTACTCTCTTAGCTCTCTGCTTTCTGCTATGTGGCTGCTATGAGTTCTCCCGACACCTCAGCCCACGGGTTTTTAAATTGTATGGTACGTGTTTATTTCACCTAGCCATTCTAGAGACGGTGAAGTGCACTGGGGACTGGTTAGGAGGATTTTATCAACAATATTCTCTAGTCACACAGTATTTCTCTGCATTCGGGTAGAGGCAGACCCAAATCATGCCATGGTTCTGCTTCATTCTCGACAGAATCGTTCAGGATCAAAACACCATAGCTGGAAACATTTTCTTTATTTCCTATTTTGTTTGGGGAGAGGACACAACTGCATTTTATCCACGAATCAGATCTTTTTCTCTCCTTCCGTATGCTGCTCCCACCAGCGTTTCTAGCTGACTTTGCTTTCACCTTAATTTTCTTCACCCCACCCCCACCCCTGCTCACCCCCCATGCCACCCCCACCCCACCCCCGCTCACCCCCCAGGCCACCCCCACCCCCCCGGCATTCCGTTCCACTTTCTGTGATCTCTTTTAGGTCACGTTTTGTCAGTCTGATGGGGATTTTATTTAGAGATTATTTTCATCCTACCCAAAGCATATAAACCATGCTGAAACCTGTCATTTGTCAAAAGGAGGTCTGAATCTGAAGCTAAAATGACATGTAATACAACAATGTATAATTTGAGAGGTATTTCAGTTCTGTTTTTCACAGTAACTGAACTTTCTCCCCCTCAATTTTTTTTCTCATAAAACACCTATTTGTTGGGAATTTTCTATGTCAAAGTTTTCATTTCCTATGATTGGGGGCTTGTTTTGTGAGTATCTTGGGAGAAAAGACACATCTTCATACTTTAACACTAGACAACCCATAAGGACTACTGAAATATTTCTGTTTGCCCCAGGCCCTTGCCTCCAAAAAGGAAATAAACAAACAAACAAACTTAGTAGTAAATTTTGTGTTATTTCTTTATCTCCAGCCCCAGGTAAAGAATGGGAATTTTTCTACATGCTTTTGTTCCTAGCAACAACAACAACAATTCAGTTTCCTTGGTGGCATCATAGACAGGGCAGACAGTTGTTTCGATAGCAGATGTAGAAATGAAAATAATAGTAAAAAATACTGAGCTGGCCGGATTCAAGAATGCCACATGTCCATCCCCAGCTGTCGGAAGATGCTCTTGATCTGGGAAGATGGCTCAAAAGGTAAAATCTCTTGCTCTGCAGGCATAAGTTCAAATCCCCAATGACCATGTAAAAAGTTGGATGTGGTTGTGTGTGTCAGTTCTAGTTCTGGGCGGGGGACAGGTGGATCCTGGGAGGTTGGCCAGCCAGCTTAGCCAAAAGAGGGGGCTTTGATTGATTTAGTGAGAGACCCTGTCTCAAGGCAATAAGATGAAGAAGACACCTGGAGTCCTGCTGTGGGTGCTGCATGCAAACACACAGGTGCTCACACCCACCTGCCCACTCACACACACAACAACAACAACAAATACATGACATTCTTTCTTCGCACCCAACTCTAAGCTCAGGTAAAAGTCTGAGAATCTGTAAAGCCACATGGAATCAAGGTCTCTGTTTCTTAGACTGGTGTAACGGGTAATACAACCATTAGAGTCAAGAAAAATAGGCACCCAAGAAATGTCACAGAAGAAGGATGTCTTAGTCAGTGTTCCGTTGCTGTAAGCAGATACCATGACTATGGCAACTCTTATAAAAAGGAAGCATTTATTGGGGCTGGCTGACAGTTTCATAGGTTTAGTCCATTCTCACCATTGCAGTGAGCATCTTGGCACACAGGCAGACGTGGTGCTAGAGAAGAAGCTGAGAGTTCTACTTCCAAATCCACAGACAGCAAGAATAGAAAGACAGTGGGCCTGGCTTGGGCTTTCGAGCCCCTAAAGTTACCTCCAGTGACAACACGTACTGCAACAAGGCAATGAGTAATCGCTCTCAGGTACTGCCACTCCCTGATGACCAAGCATTCAAACAGAGAAGCCTCTGGGGACCATCTTTATTCTAACCGTGACTAGGGATATATGATCTCTGCCGTCAGGAGCCAGAAAACGAAAGAGTATGAAGACTGGAGAGAAGGCATGCATTCAACAAAGTATCATACTTCAGTAAAGAGACTCAAGAATGCAAATGACCACGAACAAGAAATCCATGCTGCCCAAAGTAGAAACTGAACGCGCGTGCATGTGTGTGTGCGCGCGTGTGTGCACTTGCACATACATACTCAGGAGGAACAGAGCTCAGAACTAGCTCTCCTTCCACCACCTCAGATGACAGCACTGTTAATGTGTAGCAGGCGGCCTAACTAACAGCTTGTATTTAGAGTGTGTATACAACTCTGTCACCAGCTACTTAGTGTTGCCCAAAGAGAACAAAAGGGATTTCCACTGCTCTTGGCAGAGCTGCTGCCATAAAAGTCATTCAAGATGATTCTGTTCATTAGGATGTGAATAGATACGTTTATGCATTCAGATGTCTGTTTACAAAAGCGATCAAGCGCAGTGACTAAACATTGTCCGCTGTATAATACTGGGCCCAGTATTTAGTAGGCTGTGTAATCAAATGGTCACGTTAATAGCCTTATAGGTTGGGATAAGGACTAAGTAATAATGTCTAAAACACCTGGAAGAGCAATTGGTACAGAGTAAGTGCCTTTTTCATTAAAATTTATTTGTTTTTATGTGCATTGGTATTTCGCCTGAACATATGTTTGTGTGAGAGTGTCAGATCTTGGAGTTACAGTTTTAGCTGCCATGTGGATGCTGGGAATTGAACCTAGACCCTCTAGGAAGAGCAGTCAAGTGCCCTTAACCCCTGAGCCATCTCTCCAGCCCAGAGTAAGTGCTCTTAACATTATTCTGACTTTTTGCCAGTTCACTGAGCAAATTAATCTCGAGTCTTAGAGACGCTGGAGGATTTCTACAAGATGTGTATCAGAGTAAAGTTTATTAAGAAAAATGAGGGGGGGATGGAGAGAGGGTCCAAGCAATTAAAGTCTTATGTTGTTCATGCCAGAGGACCAGGGTTCAGTTCTCAGCACCCACATGGTGGCTCACACCATGTGTATCTACAGTTCCCGGAGATCTGATGCCTTCTTCTGACCTCCTCAGGCACCAGACACACACGGCTATCACTTTTATTATTGTTTAGGGCTGAGTATGAGTTAGGGTGTTAACTGAGGACAGTGTTTACATGTTAGAGTGTGGATAGAAACTAGTAAAACCTCATCACTTTCTTCTAGAGACAGAGTTTACTCTGTGAAGCCTTGGCTGTCCTGGAATTCACTCCGTAGACCAAGCTGGTCTCGAACTCAAAAATCTGTCTGCCTCTGCCTTCCTAGTGCTAGAATTAAAGACATGAACTACCTCAACGCACTCCTTCAGACTCGTTTTCAAAGGCACAGTTGTATTTTTACGTTATCTTTTTTTTTTACATTATATATCGTATCTTATTTAATCTAGTTGTGGCAAATTAAGAGCTGGTAGGATGGGAAGGACCTGCTGAAACTTTTAATAATAGAAAACCTCAGATCACCAATTAGGCGTATCATCAATAACTATTTTGAAATTTGTATCACTTTGGAAGAAAACGAGTGCATGACTTCTTGAATTTCTTCATCAGATAACTCAGACCTGCTATGATATGAACAAAAGCTGTTATTGTCAATCAAATTTTTAGATTAAAAACTTGTCAGATACAGTTCTTTTTCTTAGGAGGAGTTTAAACCCCAGCTCCACGCCCAGCCTGGAGGTGGAGCTGCATGGCAACTCCTAGCCTGGAAGGTTCCAGTTAGGGTTAGTGGGACGCAGGTGCCAAAACCACTGCTTGCCACCGAAGCCACCACTCGCTGCCGAGGCGCCGAGCGTTGCCGAGGACTGACGAGGACCGCCGAGTGTTTCCGAGGGCCTCCGAGCGCTGACGAACCTGGCTGAGAGCTGACCTGGGTAGAGCGCCATGGGTCCCGTGATTGAGCGGCCGGCCGAGGCGGGCGCGAGCGGCGTCGCCGAGCTGGAGCGGCTGAAGCAGCGCGCGGCGGAGCGCATCGACGAGGCGGCCGAGCGCCTGGGCGCGCTGAGCCGCGCCATCTGGAGCGCGCCCGAGCTGGCCTACGAGGAGCAGCGCGCGCACGGCGAGCTCACGCGCTTCTTCGAGCGCGAGCCTCCGGCGGGGTCGTGGGCTGTGCAGCCGCACTTCCGGCTCCCCACCGCCTTCCGTGCCGAGTGGGCGCCGCCGGAGGCCGCCACGGGGCCCGGCGCGCTGCAGCTGGCCTTCCTGTGCGAGTACGACGCGCTGCCCGCCCTGGGCCACGCCTGCGGTCACAACCTCATCGCCGAGGTCGGGGTGGCTGCTGCTCTGGGCCTGCGGGCTGCCCTCGAGGGCGTCGCCGCGCCACCGCCTGTCAAGGTGAGCCACGCGGGGCTGCAGCGGTGTCAGTGCGGACCCAGCCCGGAGCACCGCGCCAGTTGTTTTTGGTGGCACACAGCTGCAGTTTGCTGACTAGGCTGTGCGAGCTCTGGACAAAGTAAAATTTTGTAGACTCAAGAAAGAAAAGAAAAAAAGAAGAAAAAAAGGATTTTGATTTGAGTAATTGGTATTTGCATAGTAAATCTTAGTCTTTGGAACTACCAGACTACCAAACTTCTGCAAGAGTAGAAATAACGAAGAAGCGAATATTTATTACGTAGATGGGGTCATATTTAAGTGTTGATCTTTATCTCACAATTACAAGAGGCGTCTCGGTTCTTGAAGCAGAATGTCATGCCGGTCTGTCCTCTTACTCCTCAGATGGTATAGTTAGTTATTCATTCTGTGAGCCAAGAACCGGCTGTCACTCAGCCGGGTCCCCCACACCACCTCCATGGCCAGTAATCCTCTATTGGCTTAATCTCTTGTGGCTCTTTTCTTTAGCTACCTTCTCTTTTATGCCTCTGGGTTTTTGTCTTGTTGGGGAGGGTTTGGGACCCTGGGCCGACTTAGAAAAAAGTTCGCAGCAGTCATAAGGCCCGTTAGGTTCGGAATAGGAGCAGCTCAGTGGCCAGGCGTGGTGGTGCGTGCTATGCGGACCTCTGAGTTCCAGAGTTCAGCCTGGTCTACAGATGAGCTCCAGGACATGAGGAGACTGTCTCAACCCTCCGCTCCAAAGCAGCGTGATTTAAGAATTTTGTTACTTTATAAATTTAAAAATAAACACAGCCAGATTTTGAGAAATATGTCAACTTCAAATGGTTGTTCTCAGCAAGGTTCCTCTCCTATTAGAAAATTTTAAGTGGATTCCCTTTGCTCGTAAAGCCTTTTTTCCCTAAACCCCAATTTGTTTCATTGCATTTTTATACATAATCTTGAGAATACATCCATTTTATGCAGATAATTTGTCTTTGCTTTAAAAATTGCTTGAAGACGTTAAGCTTACATATCAAAGTAAAATGTTTATTCTGTAAAGTTCTCTTTTGTTTGATTAGGTGTTTGGTGACCATTAAATCTTCCTGGTTGAACTGGTGGAATCGAATTAGTAAGTTTGTGTAATAGTTGGCGGTTTCTAACCATGGTACTGAGATTGTTTAACGCTCGACAATGAAGGGTTAATGAGCTAGGCCTTTCTAAGTTTCTCAGTAAGGAGTGAGAGTTAGCTGAAGGCCAGGGCAGCTGTCTAAGATAATTGCAGTTAGGAAGACTTGCTCTGTAACCCGGGAAGCCTAAACCTCCCGGAACCGGTCCAGACTGCTCACCTACCTCACAGGGATGTTGTGAGGGTCACAGGTCACATGCAAGCTCCTTACCAGTCAAGCTATGACTAACTATCTACCTATCACATAGTATGCTAATGGGCTTAGCTTGAAGAGACTGTAACAGATGAGTCCTAGCTAATGTTGAAGAACCTACGCACATAGAATTCTTTTTTTTTTTTTTGTCTTTGCTATAACTTAGTTAAAATTGAGTTATAAAATTGGGGAAATTTTCCTGTAGCATTTCTAGCATGCATTTATACCAGATTACTATAATGATACACATTAAACTTTGTGATATTTACTGTGTGTAAGAAAATAACTTCTCTTAAGGGTTTAAGGACTTAAGTATATATATTCTGAATGAGTATGCACTATATGTTTTTTTCCGTTACGAGTCTCTTTGTGCTAACATATATATTTCCTTATAGGTCATTGTCTTGGGAACCCCTGCAGAAGAAGAAGGTGGTGGCAAAATCGATTTAATTGAAGCAGGTGCTTTTAAAGATCTCGATGTTGTTTTTATGGCTCATCCATCTCAAGAGGATGCCGCCTATCTACTGGACGTGGCCGAGCATGAGTGAGTAGTCACATTGAAGATACATTCTTGGTGGACAGCAGACTGAAGAGTACTCAAAACTAGGGCAGCGAGATGGATTAGTGGGTAAAAGCACTCGTCACGTGAGCGTGGCGACCCAAGTTCTATTGTCAGAGCCCACCTCGGGTTAAGAGCTGTCCTTTGGTCTCCGCGGGTACCCCATTGCATGCTTACCCCACTCCCCCATCAACACAGACAGAATTTAAAAAAGAAAAGGAAAGGGAGCCAGACTCTTAACACTCTGAGTTTATACATTTAAAAAAACAAAACAAAAAAAAGCCGGGCGATGGTGGCGCACGCCTTTAATCTCAGCACTCGGGAGGCAGAGGCAGGCGGATCTCTGTGAGTTCGAGACCAGCCTGGTCTACAAGAGCTAGTGCCAGGACAGGCTCCAAAGCCACAGAGAAACCCTGTCTCGAAAAACCAAAAAAAAAAAAAAAAAAAATACAAAGTGAATGACCCGAGCGTGGTGCGACTCACCTGTGATCTCACTGCTCAGGAGGCCAGTGTGGACCGCACAGGGGGACCCTGTGGACTGAGCGATAATGATGTGACGTTCGTCGTACATTGGCAGTCGTGATTGTTATCGTGGTCATAGTTGAACTATTAAAGGGGTATTAAACAGGGGTGCCAAACATAGTGTTCTCTTTTAAGTTCAGTCTGGTTTCTGGAATACAGTTGTCCCTTCATAAGGAGTTGTCTGTACAAGGGATGGTTTACTGGACCTGGGAAGAAAGCCCTTCCCCATACAGTTTCTAGCTTGGCTTTATGGAGCTGGAGGAGGTTAGTCTTTTGTATGGAGAAGGACGTGTCACTGAACCACAGACGGCAGTGAGAGTAGTTGTGGTGTGGTCAGTGGTCCGGGCCCTAGGAGCCCCTGCTAGACTGTGTCAGCTGCTTCCTGTGTGGCCGAGGAGGCTCTGGGGAGTGGTAGTAGGACTTCCCTGCAGTCGTTGAGCCCACCAGACCTTGTTTTCAGAGGGCAGTAATCTTATCCTTGTGCTATCTCTTCATTATCAATTTAGAATCAGTGCTGTGAGAGTAGAAACAATTCACTTTGTATGGAGGGGGTGGAGATAGTCTTATCTGTATTTCTGGAAAATAATAGAGATTACAAACCTTTGCCTGCACTTCAGGCTGGAAGGGGCCTCTTCAAGCTGTAGGCAGGTTTCCCAGACTGTTAGGATTAGATGTAGGTTTTATTGTCTTGATATTAAAGTCAATCCACTTGGCTCCACAACCCCCACCCCTTCAGTTATGGTCTGATGTATAGCCCAGGCTTGCCTGGAATCCACTGTGTAACCGAGGCTTTCCTTGAATTTCCTATTCTTCTGCCTCTGTTACCCCATGCTGGTACTGCAGAGTGAACCTGCATATCCTGTTTGTATGGTGCTGGGGAATGAATGAGCCTCAGACATTATATCTGCTAGAATAAACACTGCCATCTGAGCTATGCTCCCAGACCAGCTTTGCTTTGTTTTTTCATTTAAGCAGTCTTACGTAGCCTAGGCTAACCTCATATTTGCTGTATAGCTGGGGATGACCTTGAACTTCTGATCCTCTTGCCTCCCAGTGCTGGGATAACAGGTTTACACCACTGTGCCAGAGATTGAGCCCTGGGCTGCATAAATGGTAGGCAAGTGTTCTACCAGCTGAGTTACATCTTTGTTAATACCCACACTACACTACACTACACTACACTACACACACACACACACACACACACACGCGCACACACACACACACGCGCACACACACACACACGCGCGCACACACACACACGCACACACACATACGCGCGCGCGCACACACACGCGCGCGCGCACACACACACACACACACACACACACACACACACCACATCCTGGGGTTTCTTATGTTAGTGATGATGGGGGAAGTAATTTCCAGTGATTTCTCCTTCTCTTTCCTAGCGTTACTGTGAAATACTATGGGAAGGCGTCTCATGCTGCTGCTTACCCCTGGGAGGGAGTGAATGCCTTAGATGCTGCAGTCCTTGCCTATAACAACCTCTCTGCATTAAGACAACAGATGAAACCGACCTGGAGACTTCATGGTATACATGCCAAATATTTGTGTAGTAAATTATATCTCAGTGCAGTGAAATTGTCTAATACTAGATTTTTTTTATTTTAAATCGGGGGTTGGAAGCCAGGCAGTGGTGGTGAAAACCTTTAATATCAGCAGGCCGAGGCAGGTGGATCTCTGAGTTCAGAGTCAACCTGGTCTACAGAGTGAGTTCCAGGACAGCCCGGGCTACACAGAGAAACCCTTTCTTGGAAAACAACAAAAATTGGGAGCTGGTGATGTAGTTCAGTTGTTAGAATGCTCGCCTAGGATGCAGTGTGCATTGGGTCTGACGCCCAGCACTGCATAAAACCTGGCTTGAGTCATACCTGCAATTCCAGTACTTGGAACCACATCATCCTCAGCTACAGGTGGATATGAGGGCAGCTTAGGATAACTGAGATCCTTTCTCAAAAGAGAAAAAATAGCAGTTGCAAGTTGTATTTACTCAGGGACTAGTATAGTACACTCTTCGAATTCTGTGTGTATAAATATAGTAGCATGGTCCTCTCTTAGGGGTACACGTTTCCTCCTTCCCAGTCTGAGCTACCACACTGATTTATAATTTTCTTTTCCTCCCTTTCTCAGTTTATTTCTTTATAATCTAGTAAATCTCTATTCTTTACGCATTTTTGCTATATGTAAAATCATTTTGTAATTGTGCTTTTGCTAGTTTCTTGTCTTAATTCTTTACTGGTATGGGTAGCAGTTGGTCTGATAGGCTCTCACTGTGTAGTCTAGGGCACCCTTATATTCAGGCAGTCCTGCGTTAGCAGCCTGTACTTGTACTGCATACTGGCCTAGCCCATCTCACTGCTTACCTTAATCCCCTTCAAAGGGATTAGAGTGGAAAATTGTGAATTAGCTAATGGGGGATTCAGTTTCTCTGTATTTCTCTCTCTCTCTCTCTCTCTCTCTCTCTCTCTCTCTCTCTCTCTCTCTCTCTTTCTCTCACACACACACACACACACACACACACACACACACGTTTGAGAAGAGGTCTCCTGTAGCCCAGGCTATAACCAAGGATTACCTTGAACTCATGATATTCTTGCCTCCTCAAGTGCTAGAATTATAGAGTTTCACAATTATCTGGAATTAGTTTGTATATATCTGTTTTAGTTACTGATAGAAACAAATAAATCTTGATTTTGTGTTGTCCCAAATGTGTGTTTTGATAGTTTGTAGTATTTAGGGGTCTTTGTTCAATTTTTGTTTTTATACACGATTACAGCCAAAAGGCTGAGAAGTGATTGTAGTGGTGATTGTAGAAGTGTAGTAGATTGGTGTGAAAATTATTTCTCCACTGCTAAGTGTCATTTAAAATATTGGTAAGATTTTTCAAATAGGATGGCGGTTACAGAGCCTCATGCGACTGTAAAAGATTATGTCAAAAGTTTATCAAATCACAACTATAATAAAGCCTACTGAGATAAATTTCCTTCAGAAAGTTTAAGGTACTACTGCCAGGCTGGACAGTGGTGGCACACGCCTTTAATCCCAGCACTCAGGGAGACAGAGGCAGGCGGAGGAGCTCTTTTGAGTTTGAGGCCAGCCTGGTCTACAGAGTGAATTCCAGGACAGCTGGAGAGACATAGAAAAACCCTGTCTCGAACAACAACAATAACAACAACAAAGATACTACTGTCTGTTTTGTGGCTATAAAACTCTGTGTTTCTTTATAGTTAGATTATCATCTTTCCCTCTTCACCTCTTTTTTTCTTTCTTTCCAGTTCTTGGAAGTAAACCCAGACTCTCACACATGATAGGGAAGTGCTCTGTCTTTGAACTTTATCCTCAGCCCAAATTGTGATTCCTTAGCATTAAATGGATTCCTTAGAATAAAGTACAGATAGACAATTTTCCCTTATTATCTGGGAAATAACTCCTCTCTGTGGAAGTGTTGTACAGTGTATCAAAATATTTGGTTTATCAGTGAAGCTAATATGTATAAATTATTTTCCTTTTTGTAAGGGCTACAAAACTTTCTTTAAACAGATCATCAAATTTAACCTCAGTAATTTGGTTCTTTTATAGGTATAATAAAAAATGGTGGCGTAAAGCCCAACATCATCCCCTCTTACTCTGAATTAATCTATTACTTCCGTGCACCCTCAATGAAAGAGCTTCAGGGTCTGACCAAAAGGGCAGAAGATTCCTTCAGAGCTGCTGCTTTGGCTACAGGCTGCACAGTAAGAGCTTTTCAGAGTTAATTATGGTCAGTTACAGTGGACCGTGCTGTTTGCGCTGCTGCATTAAAGCCTGCTTTGGTTCTGTTCCATGCAGTGGTTTTTGTTTGTGCCGGTGGTGGTGCTGGGAATCTGTCTCAGGGCCTTGCCCTCACTGGTGATGTCTTAAACCTGTAAAATGAGTTGGCTAGATTTTTAGTGTGAATTTTGTTAATAAACATTTAATATTTAATTAATTTTTAATTTAATATTTAATTCTTGTGCATTTTCTTAAGTGTCTGCAATAGAGAAAACTACAAGTCACCTTACTTAGACAATAGCTAGAGAGCTTAGCAATCACTGTGCTAGAATCCCTGCCTCTTACATCACTTTGTGTAGTTCCCACAGAGGGCACTTTATGACAGTATCTGTATCTCTTTGGCAAAGATGTGGGATAAGTGTGTGTTTGGCTTGCTGGGATGGAGTTAAGACAGACTCAGAACAAAGGAGATTTTGTTGACTAGAACCGTAACTCAGAAACATTTCAGTATCAGCTGTGTGTAATGCAACAGGGGATGAAGTTCAAATACTGCAGTCGGGTTGGAGAGATAAGATCTTAGATGTTGTTTTTAGAGAGAAACAAGTTCCAGTGTCTCAGCCATGAGAAACAGTATCTCTGGGGCTGTTTCTCTCTCTCAAAAATAGGGGTAATATTGAAATCTCCCCAGGTTTCTGGAGGGAGACAAATGAAATAGCATCTGTGAAGAGGCCCAGCCAAGCCTTCCTTTGGGTCTGTGCTTGGCCTGGCAGTGCGTGGTTTGTTCGCATGGTAGTAGTGTCTCTGCAGTTATCGTTGTAGTCTGTAGTACTACAGGAAGTATCACTGTAGTACTTCCTGTCTCAGGAGCAGACACTGTTGGGAGGAACAGAGCAGGTAAAGTTTCAGGGTGGGACTATAGCTTAGCCTGACAAGCACAAGCCCCTGGGTTCAGTTCCCACTTGGTGGGATGGGAGGAGAAGGTTTCCTGGAAGACTGCAGACTAATTGAGCTTGAAGGATAATCATACTCCAGATATATGAACAACAGAGAGATCTAGATAAATACATGGATAAGTGTGGGAGTAAGGACGTATCCTCTTAGTCTGTTGGCAAAGAGATTTAGTGTACAACTGTAAAGCTTCCACAACCCAGGAAAGCTAAACACTTATTCCCTTATAACTGTAAATAATTTAAATATTTTTAAAGTTAGATATGTGAACTATCTTTAGTTAATAACTCAGGATATTCCCTAAGCTAAGAGCTAAAGACTGGAGAGATGACTCTGCAAAACACACTGCAAGCTGAGGACCTGGTTTGATCTCTAGAACCAGCAGCAGCTGTGGTGTAGTGCACTTGTAATCCGAGCTCTGAGAGGCAGAGATAGGCAGATTTCTGTGCTCACTAGCTAGCCAGCCTTCCTTGCTTGGTGAGCTCCAGACAAAAGGAGAGGGAGACCCTATCTCAAAACCCAAAGAGGATGGGCTCCCGATGAATGTCAGCTGAGCTTGTCCTTTTGTCTTTCACATGCACACAAAAAATAATAGGATTTACGGTTGGATTTAAATCTATGTTTAAGTAGCCTTTTACTAGTTTATATTTTGGCTAATGTGTAAGATTTAATTGGGTTGCCATTATTTATTCCTATCTTAGATGTTGCCAAGAATAGAAGAAATTTGATCTCTGCTGTTTGATAATTAGTTTTTGCTTATTGAAAACAAACTGTATTAAATGCACTTATGCACTCGTGTAAACCTGCTTCTGTGTCTTCATGTACTCCATCTATAAGCAAGGCCTGTTGTGAGCCTGCCTCCCTAAGTGTCTGTAATCTCTGAGGGTCCCTTTGAAACGAGGCTGTGACATCAGGGACAGTTCCGTGTTAAGTGTGTTGAGTTGTTTAGATGCTCCGCCTTCTCCTTTTTGGAGACTGAAGTATAAGCAGTGTCCATCAGAGTGGTTTGGATTACCTGCGTCAGAATTGCCTGGAGGTTCAGGTTTTAAAATGGAAGTTTCTGGGTGCTCACGATGACCTTTTTAGGTGACTGAAGTCGATTCTCGCTGGCCAGGATGGAGTTTAGTGACGGTCTGTGGTGTGGTGCTTGTGTAACAGAGGAAATGGGGCATTAGGAGCTCTAACTTTATAACGCACTGTTTGTTGGGTTTTATAGCTGGGATGAAGAGTGCCCGTTCTGAAACTTTTTCTGTTGGAAACCATCACTGTTTTGGACTTCGTGAATTTGAGTTTTTAATCCCAAACTTTGTTTTGTCATTTTTTATTAGGTGGAAATTAAAAGTGAAGCGCACGATTATTACAATGTCCTTCCCAATAAGACACTGTGCAGTGCATATGTGGAGAATGGGAAGAAGCTGGGCATAGACTTCATCTCAGAAGATGCGGTACTGAATGGCCCTTCAGGTACCTAAGCCGCCGTAGAGTGAGCTGTTTGAACAGGAGAAATGCCAGCTTAGGTTGGGCAGTCTTCAGGGGTAAGGAAGAGCTGCTGGTGTGTCTGCTTCAGGCAGGGCCTTGGTGTAGCCCAGGCTGGCCTCAAACTCCGCACATAGCTGACACTGACTTGATCTTGACCCTCCTGCCTCTGCTCCCCAAATTCAGGGATTATAAATCCATGCTACCGCACCTGGGGTTTATTGGATGCTGGGGGTTGAACCCAGGCAGGCACACTGCCAACTATGATAATTTTTTTAATGTGTATGAGTATTTTACCATCGGCTTACCTGGTGCCCCTGAAGGCCAGCAGAAGGCATTGTATTCTCTGGAACTGGAGTTACAGGCAATTAGGAGCTACTGTGTGGGTGTTGAAACCCAAACCTGGGTATTCTGCAAAAGCAGAAAATGCTCTTAACTGCTGGGCCATCTTTCCATCTCCATGATGATACTTTTTTTTATTTGTTTTGATTGAGCAATTATTTTTCTCTGCTCCCCTCCCTACAGTCCCCTCTTCTACCCTTTTTCATAATCCTCACGCTCCCAATTTACTCAGGAGATCTTGTCTTTTTCTACTTCCCATATAGATTAGATTCGTGTATGTCTCTCTTAAGGTCCTCATCATTGTCTAAGTTCTCTGGGATTTTGATGTGTAGGCTGGTTTTTCTTTGCTTTATGTCTAAAAGCCACTTATGAGTGAGTACATATGATATTTGTCTTTCTAGGCCTGAGTTACCTTACTCAATATGATGTTTTCTAGATCCATCCATCCATTTGCCTGCAAATTTCAAGATGTCATTATTTTTTTCTGCTGTGTCATACTCCATTGTGTAAATGGACCACATTTTTCTTATCCATTCTTTGGTTAAGGGACATTTAGGTTGTTTTTCCAGGTTCTGGCTATGATAAATAATGCTGCTATGAACATAGTTGAGCATCTTTTGGGTATACCCAAAGTGATATTGCTGGGTCTTGAGGAAAGTTGTTTCCTAATTTTCTGAGAAATTGCCATACTGATATCCAAAGGGACTATACCAGTATGCACTCTCACCAGCAATGGAGTGTGTTGCCTTTACCCTACAACCTCTCCAGCATAAGCTGACATCAGTGATTTTGATCTTAGCCATTTTCTGATGATCTTTTTAATATTCCTTTACACTTAGGTTGAAAAGAAACTAATAAATGGTTCAGTGAGTATAGAGTGTCAAAATAGTAACATTGTTTTTAAAAAATGTTCAGTCTGCTAGGCATATTCTTGTAGTTGGCATTTACTTTTGGACTGCCAACCAGCTCCCATATAAAGATATGGAGACTTATTATTAATTACAAATGCTTGGCCCTAGCTTAGGCTTGTCCCACTAACACTCCTCGTTGGAGGAGGCTGCTCAGAATTTCATCCTTTTCTTCCTTGTTTTGTTCCAAGGCTCTACTGATTTTGGAAATGTCAGCTTTGTGGTTCCTGGGATTCACCCTTATTTTTACATTGGGACCGATGCCTTGAATCATACGGAACAGTACACGGAAGCTGCAGGTGAGCACGAGGCGTGAACACAGGGCTCTCCTCTAACATCGCTCAGAAGTAGGAGAGGCAGTTTCAGGAGGTAATATGGGGAGTTAATGAATGCATCGTAGTATAGGAAAAGGTATTTTATTTGTTTTCTTTACCTTCTAGGATCACAAGAAGCTCAGCTGTACACCTTGCGTACAGCCAAAGCTCTGGCCATGACTGCACTGGACGTCATCTTTAAACCTGAGTTGCTGGAGGGAATCAGAGAGGAGTTTAAATCGAAGCTTCAAGAAGAACAGCTTTTAAACACACCAGCATAGAAGGAGTGCTTAGGGACTCAGGAAGCATTAAGTTTTGGTTGTTTTACCGCTAATACTTTTTCAGTGCAAGAGAGAATACTTGTTTCTCAGTTGTGGTAAGTGACTATAGTGAAGGCCCTAATGGAGTTTGTGGTCCTTCAGACATTGGTCTGTGATGACATGTGAGTCTATAACATGGTAGTGTCTTTTGTATAGCTTTACAAACCCCACAGGTTTCAACACGTAACATTGTGAACGGTGTTCAGAGAAGTGATATCTTCTCAGCAGTTCAAAGTTGGGGGAGTTTGAGTCTAACTGTATCTGGTTTGGTCTAGAGAAAAACTTAAACAGGTGCCTGTAGGACACACCTAGAATCTACAGCACAAAGAATTATCTTTACTTTAACATTGTTTTGAAAAAGAAAATATTCTTTATTTGCATGTAATTACTCCAAGGAGTGGCATAGGAGCAGTGTAACAGCCAGCAACAGGAGAAGTGACAGAAAAGCAGGTGGGCCCTTCTATGGGGAGGCTGCCGTGTGAGAGAGGAGGTCAGACTGGGTGTGTGCTGGTCTCCAGGGTCCTGCACTGTGCACACCACCCAGCAGCCTCCCGCCCCACAGCAGCCCCCTAAGCCCCTGCTGGCCCGGTGGCAGTAAACGTGAAAAGGTGGTGACTTAACTAAGTTTGTGGCCTTCTCTCTGGACTGCTCGCTTTCTGCCTTTGTGTCACTAGAGCATTCTGGGAAAGCCAGGATTTTACCTAGAAATTTGAGACATTCAGTGGTTGTCAGTAAAATCACTGGCAATAATAATCCTGGAAAAGAGGGAGAAAGTCACATAAAGCCACCAGTATCTCATGATTCTTACTTGGCATACATTTCTCTGTTTCAGACAGGTGTTTCCTTCTGCTCCTCCCTCCTCCCTTTCTAGCTGCAGTCCTGCTGCCCTGCCCTGTAGAGTGAGCTCCTGCACATGATTAGAGATGTAAACCGCTGGTGAGACAAACCCTTAGGCACAAGAGAGAGAGCTTGGGTGTGGGACCCAAATAGAGCTGAGCTCCTTTATGCATCACGTGCACTGCCACGTACACATAGCTGGAAGTGCCCAGTGCTTTTAGTGTGCCTGAGATTTAACAGACCTCTTTATCCAGGGCAGTTGTGCAGTTATCTGCCTGCTCATACCACTAAAAAGGTTTGAATTTTGAAGCATTTTGGATTTGAGGTCAGGTGTGTTCAACTTGTACTATTACTAGTAAGTTGCTATGTATTCTATGACTGTAGCTAATATTTAGCTTGCCTCAAAATTTTTAAACAGATTTTTAGACTTAATAAATTTTCTTTATTGAATGAACTACACAGGAAAATTTTTTAACTTTTTCTGTCTGTAGCATAAATGCTAAGAGTATTTAAGGTAGACATTGCATGTTTTTATGAGGATATGTATACATGAAGGGGTCCCCACACTCTCCCAGGGTGTTCAATGGTATAGTTCCATTGGTTTTAAAAAAAAAAAAAACTGTTACAGTATCCTTTAAAAAGAATAGTTGTCTCACTTTGTAACATTTTTTGAAAGAAAAAACCTCTCTGATGGTTTTTATGTCTTGTGATTTCTGACTTTTTACCTGAAGCAATCTTCTGAAACATGTCCCAAATCATCAGAGTAAGTTTTGATGGGAATTATAATCTTTGTGCCAGTTAGCAACTGTGGTCATTTGTGAGATAGGATAAACTCACTACTTTAGACCCTGTAATCTACTGACACAGCTTAGGCCGCTGCTCCAGTCCCAAAGAGAAAGGGGCAGGCCACCATGGATGAGACTGGACCAAGGTAAACCTTTCTCTTACTAAGTATCAGATATTTTACCAAGGTGACAGCAAGCTAATAGCTTGGGTTTTTTTTGTTTGTTTGTTTGTTTTGTTGTTTTATTTATTTATTACATATACAGTGTTCTGCCTGTATGCCAGAAAAGGGCACCAGATCAAATTATTTAATTGTGAGACCATGTGGTTGCAGGGAATTGAACTCGGGTCCTCTGGAAGAGCAGACAGTACTCTTAACCTCTGAGCCATCTCTCTAGCCCCCAACAGCTTGTTTTTAGTGTGGTAAATATTCTTAAAAAATGGAGTGATACTCAGCCATAAAGAATGAAATGTCTGTATACGTGTGGGGGGGGGACAGCTGAAAAACAAACAAGCAGCCTCTGTCTACAATTCTAGAAATGAAAATTTTAGGAATTCAAACAAGAACTATGGAGGCAAGCTTCAGCAACAAAATTCAAGCAATGGAAAAGAGAATCTCAGGCATTGAAGATATGATAGAAGAAATGGATATATTGGCCAAAGAAAATGTTAAATCTAAAAAACTGACACAAAACATCCAGGAAATCTGGGACACTATAAAAAGACCAAATCTAAGAATAATAGGAATAGAGAAAGGAGAAGAATCTCAGTTCAAAGACCCCCAAAAAATATTTTCAGCAAAATCATAGAAGAAAGTTTTCCTAACCTAAGAAGGAGATTCCTATAAAGGTGTAAGAAGCATACAGAACACCAAATAGATTGGACAAGAAAAGAAAGCTCCCTTGGCACATAATTATCAAAACACTAAATGTACAGAACAAAGAGAATACTAAAAGCTGCAAAGAAAAAGGCCAAGTAACATATGACAGACCTATTAGAATTACACCTGACTTCTCAGTGGAGACACTAAAAGCCGGAAGGTCTGGACAGACATGCTGCAAACTCTGAGAGACCACAGATTCCATCTCGGACTACTATACCCAGAAACTAGGTGGAGAAAATAAGACGTTCCATGATAAACAAATACAGAGACCCATAGCCGGACACTATGCAGAAGAAAGAGACCTTGGAACACACATCTCTAAATGGGATGTCTTCATCAACTTCCTCCCCTCAGAGCTCAGTATCCCATGGAAGAGGTGACAGAAAGATTTAAGAGGGGATGGAGCACACCAGGAGAACAAGGCTGTCTAAATCAACTAAACAGGGTTCCTATGAACCCACAGAGCCTGAAGCAGCATGCACAAGGCTAACCCAGTCTGTACCAGATCTTCTGAGTATATATTATAGTTTAGTATTTTTACAGGACTCCTGAGTGTGTGAATCAAGTGGGTCTCTGAATCTTGTGTCTGCTTTTGGGGCTCTTTTCCTTCTGTTGGGATTCCTTTTCCAGCCTCAATGTGATGGTTTTTGTTGTATGTTTTATTTTGTCATGTTTGGTTGTTAAGAAGCCTGTTCTAAGGGAGATGGAGGAGAGTAGAGGGAGGGAAACCACAGTCAGGATTTATTATGTAAGAAAATCTATTTTCATTTGCTTGTTTGTTTTGATTTTTTCGAGACAGGGTTTCTCTGTGTAACAGCCCTAGCTGTCCTAAAACTCACTTTGTTGACTAGACTGACCTCAAACTCACAGAAAGAACCTATTTTCAAAATAAGGAAAAAGAGTTTGGAGGGTTGGAGAGATAGGTCAGCAGGCAACTGATTGCTGCAAGCATGAGGTCCTGATTCAGATTCTCGGAACCCATAGGAAAGCTGAGTGTGGCAGTGCTGCATGGAACCCAGTGCTGCACCCAGAGACAGGGAGATCGAGGGCCTCACTATGCAGCCAGGTTAGCCAAAAAGCAAGCTTGAAGATCAGTGAGAGACTCTGAATTGATTGGGAAAGACATCCCTGTGTTAACTTCTAGCCTCTACAGACAAGCACAAATGCACACACACACACACACACACACACACAGAATTATCAAATATAGTTGGCTTTTCTTATCTACAGGTTCTGCATCCAGCTATTTAACTAACTTTCAATAAAAACTTATTGGTAATAACACATCATTATTGAACACATGCAGACATATTTTCATGTGTGTATGTGTGTATAGCATATGCATATGTGTATGGTGACTTCACATGCTGAATGTGCACTCAAAAAGACCAGAGAAGACTATCGGGTGTCTAGTTTCATTACCATACACTTATTTCTTTGAGACACTGTCTCCTTCTGAATCTAGAGCTAGGCTAGTGGTCAGCAAGCTCCAAAAGTCCTCCTGTCTCCACTGTGCCCCCTATACACACACACACACACACCACAGCACTAGGGTTGCAGGCATACACACACATGGCCACACACAGTTTCTGGGTGGGTGTTGGTGATTTCAACCAGTTTCTCAAACTTGGTAGTGGTGCTCTTACCCATTGAATCATCTCTCCAGTCCCCAGATTTTTTCTTGTCATTCCCTAAATGCTATAGTATAACTATGTATAAAATATTAGGTGTACTGTGATGCAAATAGATTTCCATGGGCATATGTTATCAAATGTACGTGATGGTGTTGTATGACACTGTTCCTGTGCATACGTGAGCAAACGTACCACTCCAAACCAATGACAGACCAAATTAAAGATACCACCAAAGTCCAACTTGGTGAACCAATGAGCTTTATTGGGGTTACTTAGAGGTGCAGAAATTATTCAAAGACAGCTGCATCACCGAAGCCCACCCCATCATGGGTGAAAACCCACAATAGCTGGAAATCTGGAGTTCATTGCCATGACTTGCAGACAACTGGATGTGTTGGAATGTGTCCCCTCCAAATAGCTTAGCTGGTCTTTGCCTTTTCCAGACAGCTTGGATCACCTGAAAGTTACTCTCAGTGGCTCTTATTGCTTATGTTTATTTGGTGGAGGGAGATAGTTTATCTATTTAGTTTCAGGGGCTTCCTGAAACTTTTGAGTTGTTTGCTTCCTGAACTTAACTTGAATGGTCTTCTTTCGTGTGGGATGGAGGGCATCACCTTTTGTTAAGCACATCCTAAGGAGCTTCCCTCCAAGATAAAGTATTCTAACTGGGAGGAGATTGCTATAGAAAAATGGCCTATAGACAAGGCTTCTGAAGAAGTACCTCAGGTTAAATGAGGCCATGGATGTGGGTTCTGACAAAATATAACTAGGGAGAAAGGGATCTGGACATTGGCGGGAACAAAGGAAAGAAGGCAAGGGTACCTACAGCAAGATGGTGGCCATTGGAAAGTCAGGAAGAGAGGCCTCTGGGGAAACTACATCTGTCAGCATCTGTCATCTGTGACCTTGAACATTAGTCTCTAGAATTGTGAGAAAAGAAATCTCTGTTGACCAAGCCATTTGGCCTACAGTCTTTGATATAGCAGGTTAGCAGACTAGTAGAACATTCTACACTCTACCTCAAATGCTAGAGTATCCCAAACAGTAGGTAAGGATTAGTTTAGACAACTCAGTGGCCCTAGTGGTGAGGGAGAAGACAGTGGCAAAGATGTTGACTTTAATGATAATTGTTTCATAAAATAAAAATGGAAACTAATCTTTTTAAACCTCACATAGCCCAGGCTGCCTTCCAATATGCTATAAAGCTAAGACTAGCTTTGAACTACAGGTCCTCCCACTTCTACTTCCCAAGTGTTGAGATTTCAGGCATGTGTAAACCATGCTTGGTAAAACAAACAGTCATTTTGTATATCAATGATAATTAATAGTTTAATTTGTGCCCTTCTAAGTTTACTACTTGTGTATTGCAAAAAGCTTTTGGTGGCCTTACATTGGGGGAAATGAAAGACTATCTAAGTAGGACTCTCATTGGGGGAAATGAAAGACTGTCTAAGTAGGACTTTGCAAATAGTTCTTTAAAAATCAGAATAAAGAACAGGCATGCATATATTATTTAGCATTGATCCAACAAGTTAACTTTGAAATCATGGGAGATAGAAGGACATATATGAAGGGTGTTTTCCTAGCACTCCTGGATGGGTTTCTTAGACCACCTCCTTTTTATTAATATATTCCACAATGTTACATTATCATTCATGTCTCACTAAACTCTGAACACAACCACAGTTCTTTTTTTTTTTCTGGTTTTTGAGACAGAGTTTCTCTGTAGCTTTTGGGTCCTGTTGTGGAACTAGTTCTTGTAGACCAGGCTGGCCTTGAACTCACAGAGATCCGCCTGCCTCTGCCTTCTGAGTACTGGGATTAAAGGCGTGCACCACCACTGCCCGGCAAACACAACCACAATTAAAGGGCAATGTCTTAACTTGTTTTAGAGGCTGCTGGGATGTGAACAGATGCTAAATAGACGTCTCTGTCTCTGTGAGTGAAAGATGTAGCCCGGAGAAAACACCATACTGTTAAGTTACTTTTGGGCAAGTTTGGTTGGACTTGTTCTATGTCTTCTAGATAAATAACATGAAGGCTTATTTTTTTAAACATTATTTTAAAATAACACATCAAATTACAAGTGATGACTGACATCATCATCTGGTCTATTGAACGCTCAATCTAGTTGATAACTGCTGTCTAGTTCCTAGACAGTGTTGGCTCTCAGACTGGAAATGCAGACGTCTATCTGTTTCTTTTGCTTTTTGATGTTATTTTCTCTTAAGAAATTGTGTGCTTCTCATTCTCATGAGCTGTATCACCTCAAGTCTCCTTGAAATGCTGATTATTCAGAAGAAATTAATACCTCTTCGAGCTCCTCCGTGATAATATCATGCTACTGAGAAAACAGTTCATTTTGAAAGAGCACGTGCTCTGTGGTAGAGAGGCACGAAACAGTGACTAGGAAACAGAGAAAGGAACACGGTTCTCTAGCACACTCAGCTCCACGGGACAGACAGAATGCATACACGTATCTCCATCTTCAGAGTTTCTCTGCCAGAGAAAAGTCAACCATCTAAAGAGCATTTCTCATAAGGGGAGATTATCTATAGCTTGTTAAAGAGAGCCTGTGAACATCACTACCATACGTTAACTATGCGAGTGGACAGAGGGACAGACCGAAGCATGAACAACACTACCTTACATTAACTGTGGGGGGTGCCGCACAGGTGCAGGGACAGACCAAAGCACAGCTTGTCACCAGAAGGGGCTTATGTGCACGTGGGCTCCGTGCAAATGAGTTTTATTCAGGTGCTCTCCAGTTCTGCATGGTCTAAAGAACACAGTGCCACCCATGAAGGAAGGCCTCCATGAGGAGAGAACCCAGGGCCCGGCACTGAAATGCAGCATGACCATGTGTCCTCTGTGCTCTTCCCAGGATCTGGGAACAGCTAATACCAGTTGCTATCATGACAAATTCCTACAACGCCTCGCATAATACTGTGTGTACAACTGATGCTTAATACATAGAAAAACGCTGTCTTGTCAGTGCAGCTTTGCACGGCTGAAGAAGGGAGAGTGAAAGCCCAGCGGGGCACTGGGGTGGTTTTCATACTTTGTCGTTCACAGCAATTTCTGTAGTGCATACAAACCATGAAGAAGGCGAGGTTTACAGAATTACAGACCTCTAAGAGAAAATCGACCAGTATATCAGATTGAACAAGATGTAAGCGGCTGGGAAGACGATCCTGGAGTATTTATCGATGGCATGGGTGTTGATCTTCATGCTCACGTAGCTGCCTCTCTGGCTTTTCCTCTGGGGAGAGCCCCTCTCAGGGGCCAGGGTCAGCTGCACCATCATCCTGTCGGGTTTCTCGCCATTCTCAGGCATGTAGCCGCTCAGGTCATTCACCTCCCCGTCACTGTAGCTGCCGTCCAGCATCACTGCCCGGGGCTGGGCCAGTCCGCAGCTGCAGGAGACCTGCAAGCACACAGGGGCACGTGAGCTGAGCGCTGTCCCTCAGGTGCCCGCAAAGCACTGTGTATGAAGGGTGTTACCCTCTAGCCTCTTTTATTCTCAGCTTTAGGGAAAAGGTAAGAAAAATGATGATGGTGTCACTGTGAGCATCCTAAGACAGCTGTGAGCACAGCCCTGCATCCGAGGTCAGGGAGGTCAGGGTGTGAGCACTAGCGCGGTGCTCATGGGAACTGGTGTTGAACTAGTATCTTCATGCTAACTTGTAGGAAAGAGCACACTGCTGTACTAGAGACCGATAAGACTAGCACCAGCTAGCCCCGTCCTCCATGAAGTCATAATCCCTGAGCTCATACCATGCCCCCTTTGGGGAAAGTGGCAACAGACCCAGGGTCTCTATGTTAGACAAGAGTGATATCCTGAGCTACACCGTTTTCATTTTTCATTTTGAGACAGCCTTGGTAAGTTACCCAGGCTGGCCTCCAAATTGTGACTCTCCTCCTGAGAAACTGCATTACAGGCTGTCGACATTACACCTGGCACCAAACCAACCCTTCATAAAAATGGTGACAAATGACGCTATTTGGTGTGTGCCACGAGGGTCGGGACTGAAAGACAGCAGTTTGGGAATAGTGTTACGGTAAGGGATTGCTGGAGGAGAGAGGCTCTACATTGTAGGCTGGGAAGGGAAAGGAAGGGCGGGAGCAAAGATAACTTAAGAAATGGTGGGAGAGGGCTGGAGAGATGGCTCAGTGGTTAAGAGCATTGTCTTCTCTTCCAAAGGTCCTGAGTTCAATTCCCAGCAACCATATATGGTGGCTCACAACCATCTGTAATGGGGTGTGGTGCCCTCTTCTGGCCTGCAGGCATACAGACAGAATATTGTATAAATAAATAAATAAATAAATAAATAAATAAATAAATAAATAAATAAATAAGAAAAAGAAAAAAAGAAATGGTGGGAGATAGGAGGCCTTATATGAAGGGAAGTTTCTTAGGATAGAATATGGTGCCCCTGGAGGGATCTTTTAAATCACCTCCATATTTGTTAATAATATGTTCCACGGTGTTAAATTATCATTTATTTCCCTCACTAAACTCTGAACACAACCACAGTTGAATGGGCCATGCCTTAATTTAGTGGCACTGGGATGAAGATGCTGAGTGAATGCTTTCATTGAACGAAAGATGTAAACGTCAAATATTCATGGCCATGGCTGGAGGTAGGCTGAGGAGAGGGTATCACAGCCTCATTTTACAGGGAGGGTAGGACCTGCCCACCATGCCAAGGCTTGCCCAGTCTATGTCATGGCAAAGTCACCTTCTCCCGTAGCTTCCGTTCCTTCCGCTCCTGCACTGTGGTCAGGTAATTGACAGCCGCGTACTCCAGCACCGAGAGGAACACGAACACGAAGCTGACCCAGAGGTAGATGTCCACGGCTTTGATGTAGGACACTCGGGGCATGGAGGCATTCACGCCCGTGATGATGGTGGACATGGTCAGCACCGTGGTGATGCCTGCCACAGACGGTGAGACATAAGCACGCGCTCGCATTTGCCAAACATTGTGTGCCTTGTCCCTCTGTGACTCCGCCTTTCGTTCTGCCTGCTCCCTCCTGGTGACCATCCTCCTGTCTTCACGAGCTAGCTGTCACAGATCTCTCCCTGCTCCTCTGCTCCTCGTTTCCACTTTCTCCTCTGCACACCTGGCACATTCGTTACAGCCCCGGACACTTCAGCATGAAGGGATTGCCTTCCGTTGTCCCAAGAAAGGAGATACGGATATAAGCAACCACGAGGTAAAGGAAGTCATTTCAACACTGTGTCCTTGGTGCCATAAAAGTTCTATAATCCTGGGCTCGTCTCTTTAGCTGACAGCTACCCCATGCTGGGCCTGTGTGCCTATCCAGCAGGACTACCTCGAGCACCTTGACATCAGGTTTATCAGGATCGCTTTATTTATAGGAGGCAGATCTTAATGAGCTTGCACATGCGCTCTGCACAGTAGCTGTTGGAGTGCCAGCTGACTGCTGAAGAACAGGGCATCATGGGTGGGAATTTGCCCAGGATTGCAAATTAAGCTTGGGGTCACCCGAAGGGCCAGCTCCAAACCCTTTCACTGAAGCCTGGTGGGACACCCTGTCACTTGCAAACCTGGGCCATCTGAGCTGTAGTGGTGGCTGTGACCTACGGGCTCAGGGTTTAAGATGAGGGCATTTGATGGGGTGCTGAGGAAGGAATGGAAGGAGAGCAGGAAAACTCGGGGATTCTGACTGCAGATATGGTGAAGCACAAGACTCCTCGTTTTTTAATAATCCCCTCAAGGTTTCTACTGCAAAGGTTCCCTGGGCCACCCTTTGAGAAACCTTGTTGCAGAATACCGTATACAGTATACAGACCAACAGGAAGAGCACACCAAGACTGGGAGCCCTGGGGCCTGGATAGATTTCCACGTGGTGCTTAGATTGTGTGGTGCTACTTAAACATTTCCAGGTTATTCTGTAGAGAGGAGTACAGGACCCTCTTGAGAAGGGCGGAAGGAATGCCTTGGATTTCCAGACACGTGTAGTGTACTCTTGAGATAGTCCTTACCTAAGGGAACTCTGGCAGGCACAGCTCTGCGGTCGATCCAGAAGGACACCCAGGACAGCATGACCATGAGGGTGGCGGGGAAATAGGTTTGGAGCAGGAAGAAGAAGATGTGGCGGCGTAAAGTGAAGTTAATGTACAGACGGTTGTACCAGCCTGGGGACAAAGGAATAAGAGAGAGAACACAGTGTAGCTGCTTGGCTTCTTTAAAAGACAAGGCTTATTTATAGAATCTTAAATTTCTTAGAGCTCACTCTGGAACCCTACCTTAAACAGTGACTGGGCCATGTGGCAACCCTCACCACTCGTGTGAAGCCACTGTGAGGAATCTTTGTCCCTTTTGTAAACATGAAGGGAACCCTTGAGAAAGTCACTTAAAGTTTTGTTTCTCAAAATATGTCCTTGGGCCTGTCTGCCTCACAATCACATGGGAGCTTCTTAGAAGTTCAGATGTAGCTCATGGATAGAGTTCTTGACCAGTATACACAAGGCCATACGCTCAGTCCCCTCCCCTTTCTCTCTCTTCCTCTTCTCTCCCTCCCCCCTCCCCATCTCCCACCAGATTCCTACACTGTAGCCCAGACCACTGGAGCTTTCTTGAGCAGCAGCCTCATGGGGTTTGTGTGCAGAGCAAAGCTCGAGACAGTACTTAAACAGCCCCCTTTATTTCTTTCCTTTTCCTTTGGCAGGGTTTTAGGTCGCCCAGACTGGCCTCAGACTCACAATGTAGCTGAGAATAGCCTTGAATTCCTGATCCCGCCCTGTTTCCACCTTGGTAAGTGCTGGGATGTTGGTGACTATCCCCAGGCCTGGCTCCCTTCCTGGATTTCTTTATGGGAAGAAATGGGTTTTGAGGTGGAACACGGTCTTTGATCTGGGCATAGAGTAACAATCTCTGGTCCATTGGGCTTTGCTCTGCCTTTGCAATTTCCAGGGAAAGGAACACGTGTGAGGATGTGGGAGGAGGGTGTCCAGGGCTGGGAGTAAGTGGGGTCCTGGCAGCAATAAGAGCGGATTTGGTGTCCTCAGTGAGTACGTTGCATAGAGCTGGCCTCTTGGTACCAGCAAGTGTAGAGGACTTTCAGAAGACTGAGACCCAAACCACTGAGCATCCAGGGTGAACAGTGCAGCATGGGAGTTGGATTGGCATGCTAAAACTTGACTGTCAGTGCTCTCTAACGGATTAGGATGCGCTTACATGGGGGAGCTCCCTCAAGAAGTTCTGCAGAATCTTCCGAAAGGTGAGATCAAAACAGAAGCAAGGGATGGAGAATGTCAGCTGTCTACCAGCGCAGGCCAGCTGCTGGGGAAGGCCATGGAGCACAGCCTCAGGCAATGGGTGGTGATGAGGCCTGTATAGACCTCTGACTCATAAGGCCACAGCCAGGTCCACGTGATGACCAGGGGTCATTCTGAGGAACGTGGGTAGTAGTGGTACACCCGGGGAAATGGAGAATGGCGGTCTGAACTGAAACTTGTTTGTGGCTAGAGAGAGAGGCTCTGCTGAGCATGTCAGGGATGCAGCATCAACAGGACACGGCATCATCTCAAATAAACCTACTCACACAGCTTCCCTCGGAGCCTTAGCTCGCATTTCCTAGGTAGCTATCTCTGATACATTGATGGGTCAAAAATTACCTATAATCTGGGTGGTGGTGGCACACGCCTTTAATCCCAGCACTCAGGAGGAGGCAGAGACAGGCAGATGTCTATGAGTTCGAGACCAGGCTGGTCTACAAAGTGAGTCCCAGGACAGGCTCCAAAGCTATAGAGAAACCCTGTCTTGAAAAACCAATAAATAAATAAATAAATAAATAAATAAATAAATAAATAAATAAATATTACCTGCAAAGCTAGTTTCCTTGGAGCATACCTATAGCCCAGCCCTGGAGATACTGAGCCAGAGGCCCAGCCTAGATGCATAGTGTATAGTGTGTTCACCAGCCTGGATACATAGTGTATAGTGAACTCACCAGCCTGGATACATAGTGTATAGTGTGTTCACCAGCCTGGATACATAGTGTATAGTGTGTTCACCAGCCTGGATACATAGTGTATAGTGAACTCACCAGCCTGGATACATAGTGTATAGTGTGTTCACCAGCCTGGATACATAGTGTATAGTGTGTTCACCAGCCTGGATACATAGTGTATAGTGTGTTCACCAGCCTGGATACATAGTGTATAGTGTGTTCACCAGCCTGGATACATAGTGTATAGTGTGTTCACCAGCCTGGATACATAGTGTATAGTGTGTTCACCAGCCTGGATACATAGTGTATAGTGTGTTCACCAGCCTGGATACATAGTGTATAGTGTGTTCACCAGCCTGGATACATAGTGTATAGTGTGTTCACCAGCCTGGATACATAGTGTATAGTGTGTTCACCAGCCTGGATACATAGTGTATAGTGTGTTCACCAGCCTGGATACATAGTGTATAGTGTGTTCACCAGCCTGGATACATAGTGTATAGTGTGTTCACCAGCCTGGATACATAGTGTATAGTGTGTTCACCAGCCTGGATACATAGTGTATAGTGTGTTCACCAGCCTGGATACATAGTGTATAGTGTGTTCACCAGCCTGGATACATAGTGTATAGTGTGTTCACCAGCCTGGATACATAGTGTATAGTGTGTTCACCAGCCTGGATACATAGTGTATAGTGAACTCACCAGCCTGGATACATAGTGTATAGTGAACTCACCAGCCTGGATACATAGTGTATCATGAATTCAGGGTAGCATGAGCAAGGGAGTGAGCTCCTGTCTTAAAGGAAAATAAGTCACCTCTCCTTGACACATACCACCCACTGGATTTTATTTAGGACTCTAGTCTTCTGTTTCAAAATTCTGCTCACTTGATGTGACAACCAGATCATACACGTCCTAAACAGAGCCTGAAGCACCTGGCCACCATGGGGCCTCCCTGCACTCCACGCATGCTCCGAGCTCACCTGTACTGCTGTAGAAGGCCAGCTTTGTGGTGGTGTGGAACTCTTGGATGAGGAACTGGGAGAGGGAGATCCTCTCGTCTGTCTTTAAGGAGTCGTTGCCCTTTTTCCAGTATAGCATGAGGTCATCTTCTGTGTAGGCGTCTGGGAGATGAGAGCCAGTGTCAGGAACGGGGTGACAGGCAAGCCAGGCAGCCTGTGGGGCTGTGTGACACTAAGTGTCCTAAGCCACACAGACTGCCTGGCTTGGGGAAAGATAACAAACTGCAAACTAGACAATACAGGCGGACAACTCTAGTTCATCCCAGTTTCTCAAAAGTTATCAGAGCAAGGCTTCTAGGCTCAAGGGCTCACAGTTCCTACAAAAAAAAAAAAAAAAAAAAAACCCTCACCCGCAATCCAGCTGTGATAGGTTAAACCAAATGCTAGTGCTGCTTGCATGGCAGAGTTCAATACTGGCAAGATTTCCTGCGGTCAGCTTTATAGACTAGGACCCAGCCAGCTTGCTCCTCTCTTGCACAGGTGCAATACATCACCTGGGGGCCAGATCATGACTCACTCTCAGGCAGCATGAGTCTAGAAGGGGCTTCTCCTTGGGCCAGTTGTGCCCATTTCCTCAAAAGGAGGAGATGACTGTGGTCAGCATCCTCCCGGCGGCTGCCATGTGCCCAGCACGCCCCCTTCAGGTGAGGCACTGGGTTGCACAGGCACATGTGCCCCTGGTCGTAACTGAGGGGGAACATCTTGGAGCTGCAGACAGCGTCCGCCTCCCTGTAGTCTGTTCTTCTAAGGGCTCGCTAAGCCTTGACTATGTGATAGGAGCCCTCACGTGTCAACCGGTTTGGCTCTGGTACACAGGTGTCAAACCAGACGCTAATGCGTGAAGGTGTTTTCTAGAGGCGACTAGCATTTCAACCAGGAGGCTTTGGGTGAAGGAGATTATCTCAGGTCACCCGGCAGAGCCTGACCCTAGGAGGGGAAAGGCAGGGAGAGCGGAGTTCCTGGGAGAACCGTCCCCTGCCACAGAGAGGGGTTTAGGCGTGCTGGGGTCGGACTCACAGCTCTCGATTTCCAGGGAGCAGGTCTGCGTGTCCAGCGGAAACCTGCTGAAGTCCATGTTGCACATCGCCGTCACTGTCACTCTAGAAACAAAAGGACGCACGGCTTCAGCACCTGCTGGAGACAGCTGTGAAGTGGTGAACAGGTAGAAAAGGCTGCGTCCTGCCCCCGGGTCCTAAGCGGTGTGCTGGCATCAGGAAAGACCCTTAGGCATGACCTGCTCTTTCTGTTTGACCTTAGGAGCTGTACAAGCGAATGAGGATCTCTGCTAACACCAGCACATTCCAGTGTGGTCAGGCAGTATAGCGGTGTAAAAGACACACACACACACACACTTTTCATTTAAATGATTGCTGAAAGAAATGAGTGTTCCCCAAATACAAGAATCCAAATATTTGCCTCACCAATAACTACTCAAAACTCGCTGCCTCTCCAGATATGAATATGCTTTCCCGTTTGCTGTGCTCTCGCTGCTGATGGCATCTACTTATCTGCAGGAGAACATTGTGGGGCAGGGGAACCCATACCTGACACTGATAAGTTATGACCTGAGACTAGAAAGGCCTAGGGGAAAAAAATGTAACTATTATTATGCTAAAGGGACATAGCAATAAAATGACTCCTGATGACATTCTGCTGCACCCGTAGACCGGTACCTCCCTCAGTCCTTACCAGAGAAAGTTGCAGCAGATAGGAATTACCAGGGTCCCACAAACAACATACAGAGAGTGAGAGACTTTGGCGCACTTGTGGGACAATATTATACAGCCCACATATATCTGTATTGTATCAGCAGCCAGCCTCTCAAGCCATAATAGCAACTGAGGTGCTGAAAGCATCTTCAGACTGTCTCCTGAGCTCAGGGGATGCTGATGTCCTGTTGCTCCTTTTTCCTAATCATGAGGACCACCTGGGAAGAAGTGTTAATTCCAAGCTAGTGACAGAGCTGCTGTCATGACTTTAGTCCTCCTACCTTGGAAACAGAATGCTAATGAACTTGCCCCTCAGTTTACCTTGGGTAATCAAAGATGTTTGGAGAATAAACGCTGGTAACCTTCAGGATTTGAATGAACCCTGAGATTCCCTTCCGATATTGCTGTGTGAACTTGTGTCTCAATTATTCCCACACCCTCACACTGGTCCAGAGAGATAGTTTATATTGGGGTTTGGACCCTGGCAAGCACTTATCCCTAAAATGAATGTCTTCATCACCTCACCCCTACAAACACACCAAGGCTCAGGTAGCTCTGTAGAAGCAATTATGAGAGAAAAAGTGGCTATTGTGAAGGGTGTTGTTTCTCTGATTTCTTTCCCAGCATGAGTCTGTGACCTCTGAGGGAGTAGGCCTGAGCCAGGTCCTCTGTAGGTTCCAGTGCACCTGAGTCTGGGACCTCATAGGGAGAAGCTCAGAGCCAGAGACCTTTGCAGGACCAACCCCTAGCCAGGGACTTCCACAGGAGCAAATCCAGACCAGGGACATTTACAGAAATAGGTCTGAGCCAGTAACCTAGACCAGAGCAGGCCTGAGACAGCAAACTCCAAGGGAGTAGAGCAAATCCTGGGAGTGCTGAGTGACCTCCAGGAACACAGAGTGACCAATGGGGTAACTAGAACCATGGCACTAACTGTACTATGAGGAACAACCATCTGAGCCTTGGATCCACTGGCACCTAGAATATTAATCACCAGAGTCACAGACAGCCCCAACCACACCAATTAGAGGAAAAGATGAGTAGAAAAGGTAAGAACAATGCAACACCACAAAGAGCAACATGGCACCAGTAAAATCTAGAGACCCTACAACAGCAAGACCTGAACAACCAAATATAAATGAAGCAGAAGAAAATGACTTAAAAAAATAACTTCAGGAGAATGTTTGAGACTCTTAAAGAGGAAATGAAAAATTTCCTCAAAGAAATGGAGAAAAGAAAAAACAAAAAAATTGGAAGACATCAGCAAATCCCTTAAAGAAAACCAAGAAAAAGCAATCAAACATATGAAAGAGACTATTCAAGATTTGAAAACTGAAACAGAGACAATAAAGAAAACTCAAGCTGCGGGAATTATAGAAATAGAAATCATGAGAAAATGAACAGGAACCACAAATGCAAACACAAACAGCAGAATACAAGAGATTTTGGAAGAGAGAAGAATCTCAAGCGTTGAAGATACAATAGAGGAAATAGACTCATCAGTAAAAGAAAACATTAAATCTAACAAAAACTTAACACAAAATATCCAGTAAAAGGCTGGAGAGATGGCTCAAAGGTTAAGAGCATTGCCTGCTCTTCCAAAGGTCCTGAGTTCAATTCCCAGCAACCACATGGTGGTTCACAACCATCTGTAATGAGGTCTGGTGCCCTCTTCTGGCCGTCAGGCATAACGCAGAAAGAATATTTTATACATAATAAATATTTTTTTAAAAAATCCAGTAAATATTGGACACCATGAAAAGACGAAACCTAACAATAATAGGTATAGAAGAAAATGAAGAAGTCCAACTGAAAGGCACATAAAATATATTTAACAAAATCATAAAAGAAAACTTTTCCTGCAAAGGAAAAAGGCCAAGTAACATATAAAGGCAGACCTATCAGAATTACACCTGACTTCTCACTGGAAACAATGAAAGCCAGAAGGTCATGGTCAAGCATTATGCAGATGTTAAGAAACCACGGGTGCTAGCCCAAACTACTATACCCAGCAAAACTTTCAGTAGAAGGACAAAACAAGATATTCCATGACAAAACCAGATTTAACCAATATCTAGCCGTAAACCCATCCCTACACAAAGTACTAGAAGGGAAAGTCCAACCCAAGGAAGTTGGTACCTCAACAAAAACACAGACAATTGATGAGCTCACAACAACAAATCCCAAAGAAGGGAAAACCCCACAAACTAACATCAACAATGAAAACTAAATTAACAGGAGATAGCAATCACTAGTCATTAATATGCCCTAATATACATAGACTCAATTCACCTGTAAAAAGACACAGGCTAACAGATTGGATACAAAAACAGATTCCATCCTTCCGCTGCATACAAGAAACACACCTCAATCTCATAGCAGACATTGCCTCAGAGAAAAGGGTTGGGGAAAAAAATCTCCAATCTAATAGACCTAAGAAAAAGCTGGTGTAGCTATCCTAATATCTAGCAAAATAGACTTTAAACTAAAATCAATCAAAAGAGACAAAGAAGGACATTTCATATTAGTCACAGGAAAAAGCCATCAAGAGGAAATCTCAATACCGAACATCTATGCTCTAAATACAAGGACACCCTCATATGTAAAAGAACCACTTCTAAAGCTCAAATCATACATTAAACCCCACACAATATTAGAGGGAGACTTCAACACTTCACTCTCAACACTGGACAGGTCAGTCAGACAAAAAATTAACAGAGAAATAAGGGAACTAACAAATGTTATAACTCAAATGGACTTAACAGACATCTATAGGATATTCCATCCAAACACAAAAGAATAAACCTTTTCAAAAATTGACCACATACTCGGCAACAAAACAAACCTCAACAGATACAAAAAGATTGGGATAACCCAATGTATTATCAGATCACCACGGCTGAATATTAGAAGTCAACAGCAACACTAATTCCAGAAAGCCTACAAACACAAATTAAACAATGCTCACTTGAATCATCAATGGGTCAAGGAAGAAATAAAGGGAGGGAGAAATTAAAAACTTCCTATAATTCAATAAAAATGACCACATAACATAGCCAGATTTATGGGACACAATGAAAGCAGTGTTAACAGGAACGTTCATCGTACTAAATGCCTACATAAAGAAGCTGGAAAAATTCCAACTAGTGAATTAGCAGAACATTTGAAAACTTTAGAACAAGAAGAAGCAAACTCACCCAAGAGAACTAGATGGCAGGAAATAGTCAAATTGAGAGCTGAAATCAACAAAATAGAAACAAAGAAAACAATACAAAGAATCAATGAGACAAAGAGTTGGTTCTTTGAGAAAATCAAGAAAATAGACAAATCTTTATCCAAACTAACCAAAACGTGGAGAGAGAATATCCAAATTAATAAATCAGAAATGAAAAGGAGGACATAACAACAGACATGGAGGAAATACAGAGACTCATCAGGTCATATTTTGAAAACCTGTACTCCACAAAATTTGAAAACTTAAAGGCGGTGGACAACTTTCTGGATAAATATCACCTATCAAAATTAAATCAAGACCAGATAAGCAAATTAAACAGATCTATAACTGCTGAAGAAATAGAAACAGTCATCAAAAGTCTCCCAACCAAAGAAAGCCCAGGACCAAATGGTTTCAGTTCGGAATTCTACAAGATTTTCAAAGAAAAACTAATACCAATATTCCTCAATTTGTTCTACACAATAGAAACAGAAGGAACATTGCCAAACTCTTTTTATGAGGCGACAATTACCCTGATATCCAAACCACATAAAGACATTACTAAGAAAGAGAATTACAGACCAATCTCACTCATGAACACTGATGCAAAAATACTAAATAAAATACTGGCAAATCGAATCCAAGAACACATCAGAACCATCATCCACCATGATCAAGTAGGGTTTATTCCAGAGATGCAGCGATGGTTCAACATATGAAAATCTGTCAACATAATCCACCATATAAGCAAACTGAAAAATAAAAACTACATGATCATCTCACTAGATGCTGAAAAAGCTTTTGACAAAATACAACATGTCCCAGACTCAGAGAGAGGAAGATGTGTATCAGAAAACACATCTATCTATCTATCTATCTATCTATCTATCTATCTATCTATCTATCTATCTATTTATTTATTTATCCCTGACTCTTACTAGAAAAACAAACTTTTAAAAGAAATATTTAAAATTTCAGGCTAGAAAGATGCAGTGGTTACAAACACTGGCTACTCTTGCAGAGGACCTGAGTTTGATTCCCAGCACCCACATAATGACTCACAACAGTCTGTAACTCCAGGCCTAGGGGATCTGGCACCCTCTTCTGGCCTTCACCGGCACACACGTGGTGTACAGGCACACGTGCAACCAAAACGCCCATATGCATAATGCAAAATTTAAAAAAAATAGTTAATTAAACTTTTAAAAGTTAAAATATTCAGGTAAGGCGGAAGCTCTCAGCACCAGCCCGCCTTCGTCCCCACCTGAGGCTATAGAGCACTTTCCCATCGGGCTGGACCCGCAGCATGACGTTGTCTGTGGTGGTGTCGTGGATGAAGGAGCGTTTGGAGTGCACGAAGAACATGTCAGGGACCCAGATCTTCTTTACGAGCCGGCCGTCAAATGTCATGCTCAGATTGTTCGTGCTTGGAAAAGACAGCCTCTCGTCCTTCCAATAGTGCCTCAGATAGAGGGTCATGGTGAAGTCCTGCAGGTGGGAGGCAGAGCAGACGCATACCCACCCACTGTGGGGCATGCCACAGAAGCCAGCGGACTGAGCATTGCCCCTGGAGAAGGCAGAGGGGATCCCAGGAAGAGGCCGAGCACAGACCGCCCCTAAACTCCACCCACCCGTGACACCCATCATCTCCGTAACAGCTGCCCTGCTGACACCAGCGACTCAGGCTGAAAGTGCCAGGGTTAGAGCAGTGGGCCTCTCAGCGGGAGGAGCCCAGTCGGTTCCCAGACCCTGAGCAGGGCTGACCTGCGTTGTGTTCTCCGCAGCCTCCTGGAGAGCGGTGGGAGGAGGGCTGTAGGCGTGGCTTGCCTGAGAACCCTGCTCTTCGCTGGCTTCCCTGTCTCCCTTTCTCGTGTTCTGGGAGGAGTCCCCAAGTACACTCTGTTAGGATACTTCTTTCTGGCCTGATTCGTGGAGGCTCCAAATCAAGGTAGACTTGTAAAAAGTCCCCAAACTTGTAGAATGCTTCCCGACCCCGAGCCGTGTTACCGTTAAAATTTTGAAGATACGGTTTCACTGTATAGCCCAGACTGGTCTAAAACCAGTTTCACTATAATAGAAGACCAGGCTGGTCTAAAACCCAAGATAAGCCTTCCTCTACCTTGGGTGTTGACTTGAAGACTTGCACCACCATGCCTAGCTGTCAACTTTTTTTTTTTTTTAATTGGAACCCACTGAAAAGCAAAAAGGAATAGTCCCACGGTTCCAGGTTTCTAGAGCAAGATACAGACTCTGCAGAAATACAGGGGGCCTGCATCTCAGAAGGCATCCCTGCTGGAGGGTAAAGACCAAGTTTTCCACCTGACTCTATCTCATACCAACTGGGAATTCTGGACACATGACATGATGTCTGTGAGTCATCTGCTAAGTGCGTGTGACAGCTCCCATCTGCCAAGGAGTTACGAGTTATGAGGGAGTTCAGCGGTGTCGCGCTTTGCCCAGACAGGTGCACATGGGCTCCCACTCCCCAGCCCCCATCAGAGAAGCACTCACCATGTCGACCTCCGAGATGCTGTCCAAGCTTTCCACCTGCACATCCACACCCACGGGGATGGCCGGGCCTGGGGAGGGCAAGACAGGGCACTCTTTTTATCCTCTCTGTTCTTTCTTTACCCCCTCCCTCCTTCCCTCCTTCTTTTCTTGTCTTTATCTTCTTCTTTTTTTTTCTGACAAAGCCTTGCTATGTAGCCCAGGCTAATCTCAGGCTCTCAATCCTCCTGCCTCAGCTTCCAAAGTGCTAGGATTATAAGAATATGCCAGCACATCCAGCTGAACAGGTTAGGTACAGGGCATGTTTCAGTTAACCATGACACAAAGAGTTGGCATTGGATCCAACAGTTTACCTATGACAAAGAATAAAGACCTTTCTAGAACTTGGAAGATTGGTTTGCAGGGGGTGGGGGTGGGTGCAGATAAACATGACTAGAAAAAGAAAAAAACAAAAGGCATGAAAATGATTTCTAGGGGCTGGAGGGATGGCTCAGTTAGTAAACACTTCTGGCCTGGTCAGCATGAGGACCTGAGTTTGACCCTGAGAACCCATACAGAAATACTAGATGAGGTGTTATGTACTCCAGTGCTGGGGAAGCAGATGCAGGATTCCTAGGGCTCATGGATCAGCCAGTCTAGCCTAATTTGAAAGCTCCGGGACAGTGAGAGTGTGTCTCAAAGGAGGTAGGCAGCGTTTCTGCAGATGGCAAGCCCAGAGGGCTGGCCTCTGGTCTCTGCAGACATCCACACCTACGCCTACATACATGTATCTGCATACACACAAACACACATACACACAGGCATAAAATATATTTCTCTCCAGAAAGAAACCAAACCTAGGTCAGTGAGATGGTTCAGCAGGTGGGGCTGCTCACTGCCAAACCTGGAGACCCTGAGCTGGGTTCCCAGAACCCACATGGCAGAAAGAACCAACTTCCATAAGTTGGCCCCTTATATCCATACATTTTGTGATGTGCACACCACACCATCCCAAAAATAAATAAATACATGTTAAACACACACACACTCACACACAGAGGGAGAGAGAGGAGGATGGGGAGGGGGAGAGAGAGAGAGAGGGAGAGAGGGGGGAGGGGAGAGAGAAAGAAACAGAGAGGGAGGGAGGGAGGGAGGGAGGGGGGAGACGGAGATAGAGGGAGAAGGAAGGAGGGAGGGAGGGAGGGAAGGAAGGAGGGAGAGAGAGAGACTCTTTTGGTAGAGGGCTGAAACCTGGCAGCTACTGAGCCCCAGATTCCTGCTCTGCAGGGAGTCCTTGCTGTCTCGAGCTATTTTCATTTCATTAAGCCTAGCAGACAGGACTCTGACGTGTCAGTGAAACTCATCTGCCAGCTCCCAGTGAGAATAAATCCAGCACAAGCTTGTTGCATGGGATTTCAGAGCATCTGCAGGAGGCAGCCCCAGCTGCATCTGCCCTGCCTTCTCATGGCAGCCTCTGTCTGACCTCAGTGAACCTTCTCACAGCACAGCCCTGGGACAGCTAGCAGCTGGTACTTTGGCAATGCCCGACAGAGCCAGGGACACGAAGGACAGATGCTCAGAAGGTGCAGCCCTCCAAGTTCAACCCAGGCAGACATGATAAACAGATGTGGGTGCAGACAAGAGCCCCAGAAAATAAGGGAAGTCCCATCCTCAAGAGCACATCCCATACCTCCAAAGCCAGGCCTCATACTGAAGTCATGGTCATCTATCCTCAGCAGCTGCTCTGACTTGGTGAGAGGCGACTTGGTTATGTCGGAGCTGCGTTTCAGAATTGGGCTGCCACAGAAGGAAAAGCAGATGGATCAAACGTACTAACCAAGGCTGGTCAGAGTCATAGCCACCTGTGTTCTTCCTGCTCTTGGCAGGTTTCATAGGGTATGTTTTGTCTTCTAAGCCTCCCCCCTCCCTTTTTCCAACTTTCTGGATAAAGAAACTGCCCTGGAAGTTCCAAGATTGTGACCCCCCGCCACATAGAGAGGCTTCTCAAATAGCAATGCCAGACCCTGCCTCTGACATCCTGATTATAATCTGGGAATTGGTATTTTATTAATTTAAGGGACTGGAAACTGGTATTTTTTAAAAAGTTTTCCAAGGCCGGGGTGCAGCTCGGTGTTGGAATGCTTGCCAACAGAGGAACAGCCTTGGGTTCTATTGCTGGAACTGACAGGGACAAGAACTCAGCACTTACACCTGCCAGAACCGATCTGAATGGTAAACCAGACCCCTTCCAACTGCCAGAGACATCGAGAGAACAGTGACTGCAGGAGAAGCAAATGCGTGCGGCTGAGCCTCACACCCTGGACTTTCTGTGGTCCTTCTGTGGGGGGTGAACACCCTGCCATCATGTTTCCAGGGAAAGCGCTTCTGAATTGCTTGTAGGGACACTTTTACCTATTCTTGTCTTGTTATCTGTTTGTTCCTAAATGTGTGATGTGTTTTCAGTGTTAGACCCTCTCCTCTCCTCTCCTCTCCTCTCCTCTCCTCTCCTCTCCTCTCCTCTCCTCTCCTCTCCTCTCCTCTCCTCTCCTCTCCTCTCCTCTCCTCTCCTCTCCTCTCCTCTCCTCTCCTCTCCCCCTCCTTCCCCCTCTCATATAGGTAGGGCCTGGAGAGATGGCTCAGCAGAAAGAGCATTGGCTGCTCTTCCAAAGGATCCACGTTCTATTCCCAGCACCCACATGACAGCTCATAAAACTCCAGTCCTGGAGATCTGACACCCTCTTCTGGCCTCCACAGGAACTACACATACATGGTGCACAAACATCAATTCAGGCAAAACACCCATACACATAAAATATTTTTTAATTAAATGTGCAGTTAATTCTACTGACCTACTCCTCATCCACAGACACTTGTCTTATTGCTTCCTTGTCTAGGCAGAGTTTGCTACAGAAATATGGAAGAACTAGTATATAGTATTACTTTCTCTTCTTATGTAGTTAATGTTACATTAATGCTTATTTGTCTTGCTTCTCCCTCATTTAATAACATGCCTTGGATTTTCCCACATGCGAGTCCCCCTTGCTCCTCATTCCACCGCACAGTGATCGTCTGACCTGTCCTCCCACAGCAAACACATGAGCTGGTCTGGGTCCTCTGTGCCTACAGTAAGGGATGCTTGAAATTCTTCATTACCCACCAGGATAATCCTCATAAATAATTGACCCCCTTTCCAGCTCCAGATGCTGATGCCAGGCCCGTTCCCTCCGAGAGACCTCCCCATATGTCCTTCCCCCAGTCCAGATGCTCCCACGCTCGATAGGAGCCTCATTGGAACCTAGATTCCTGGACCTCACAGGCCCTTGTGTCTGATGCAGGGCTCTGGACGGAGGCTGCTGGAAGAAAGGAGGGGACACCTTAACCCTGCTCAGGCGCATTGCCCTCTCCGTGGCTGGCTCAGGTGTGTTAGCCTCCGCTTGCCTCCCGCCTTCCAGGGTCTTGCTCTGCGCACATGCAGTTCTCGGCCCTAACTATCTTCTTCCCTGAAAGAACCTTCTAGCGTTCAGAAAACACGAAGCCAAGGTCAGGAAACCAGGACTCTCTCCTCCCTTCAGAGCCTGGTTGCTTTAGACCATTGGGCGTCCAGTTTATTCCCTGAAAGCTGTTTTCCTGATGGAAGGAAGGCTTTGAGCGGACCGTGGGGGTGTGCAGGTAGAACAGGATGTGTGGGAAACCAGCGCACTTGCGGAGCAGAGGAAGGAGCTGGGGCGTGGACCGGGAAAGCCAGCTTCTTCCTGGTCCTCGAGAAGTAGGGCTGAAAATCGCTGTAGCTGTGGGGCTCGCTGTTACCATGGGCCATACCTGCCTTGCTTGTGGGCATCGTCGAGGGCTCCTCGTCTCTGTCTCTGAGGTCTGCTACGGAAACAAAACAGAAAGATGCTCCAGAGACTGTCCAGTGACTCAGATCAACAGAGCGCCCTGGCCTCTCTGCACACTTCAAATCTAGTCAGAATAGAATGGGGGTGGAGAGGGAAGGAGGCTCAACGCATTAATCTGGTCTGATGAGCATTTCCCAACTACT